TTACAAAAATATTTTTAAAATGTGCGCTCGGTAGGCGTCGGACAATTCATAAAATAATACTTTTTAAAAATCAAACGGTTTAGCCGCAAACTTCCGAGCCGTACAGCGTGAATTACCCTGTATAGCGGTTAGGCAATAGTCGATTAAGTGAAACCGATTTTTCCATGCGGGAACGCAGCGTACATCGGTAATCTCACTCGTCCGCATGGGAATCTTGGCGCGTCGAGCGTCACTGCGTTCCAACTTGCTACYTTCACGGCTAAAAATKTCCGACCTGAGCGAGGCAGTTTCGATTTTTKAAATTTMGTTTAGTCCTGMAGARAAATCAAGYAGTTCAATCAAAAGTTTATCATCKRATTTTTAGRATTATTGAAAATATTGGATTTGATCCTGAACTCAAAACTMKTCATCATCGTCASAWAACTCTGATGATGCCTTTTATGGGCGARACCCGAGTCACATCATTATTRGAACACTATGAAAAAGAACGACTGCACTAAATTTGATCATAATTCCGCTGGACCAGAACAATAATTTACAAAAATCCGGCAATTAACAGCCGTTACTCTTTTCCAGGCTGGAGCAAATATGCGAATATTTCATAGACCGGGGAGTCTTGGGAGTGTCCAAGGAACAGAAAAACCTTGTGCTGGAATACAAGTAAGCAAYAAACACCCGCAAAATGTTAACAGACAGTTAATATTGACAAAAACGCAGGGGAAATCCGGTAAAGGCCCAAAAAAAAATCAAGTGGGACAGCGGAARCGTGCTGGTCATTCCCGTGGTGCCCACAACGCTAGTCAATATATGCCGGCTGATCCAGATTTACTACGTTTTAACGGTAAGTCATCAAGCCGGTAAGTCGATGGCTCTTCCAGCTCATTGTGGGTTCCAGGTAAGCCTGGATACGGCCAAAGAAACCGACTTGGTGTCGGTCAATATGCCCCTAACCATCGCCACAGTGCCGTTCCGAATACCCAACAGTGGGCTAAATAAAACCATAAAATACGGTAAGTCTGCGGAGGTTTTCCTTCAGCGGTTACGTTTTTTTTTTTAAATTAGAGCCAGCAAGCACGCATGTGGAAGGCGGCCAGTACTTGGCTCCAGATTTCCTGCTCGGGCAGGTTTACGATGGCAACGAACACTACTTAAGGTAAAAAAAAGCCGTTTAATCCACATGGGGGGCAAAACTCGACGCTTCCTGCATGTTTCAGAGAACCGATCGTTTTGTATAAGCCGGTCTATGTAACGATAGACAAATCTGAGTATACAGAGTACTAAAACCGGCAGCAATTCTTCAGCGCTACAGGGTATTCCAGTCAGCTTTACGTTTTTCGCTCCCTATGTAAGTTTATCAAGACTGAGCCAGACAACCGACACTTATTTTGCGTATTTTCTACAACATACATACCGGATCGAATGTGCACAAACGTCTATTTTTACGCATTTTACAAAGACTTTTTTAATAGGCTGTCGCCGACAGGAATGTGGTCCTGACGTTTCGCTCGCATGCATGGCAGCATCTTCAGAGGTTTGTTCGAACTCAGAACCCCCCCAAATCCCTATCGGCGACTGCCTAATAACCGGAAAAGTCTCCAACTATTCAATAATAAAGTTGAGTGGATTTGCGAAACTATTTATACAGACTTTTCTCAAAAACTAAATTAAATTTAAAAAATTGAAAATTTGTCTGCCTCAAAACTCGGAAATTTTAAGCGGCGAGAGTGTCAACTTGGAACGTAGCTAGGCGCAATGCGCCCAAGTGCCCATGCGTGCGAGTGAGATTACCGATGCAGGCTACGTTCCCGCATGGGAAAATCGACGATTGAGTAACCGTAGTAAATGTTAGCAAAATTAGCAAAATTTAAATCAAGTAAATGTTGTGCCCTTTTTGGTGGTTTGTGATTGTGATACGGTACTTTTCGGCCCCTCTTCCCTCTACCCACAACGTTAATTATTTATTTATAGATTTGTTTCTACTCTTGATGTACGCGTATTTTCCTATAGACGTAAAACTAGTAGATTAACCCCATACAAATTATATGCAATGTTAATGTTGTGGCTTATTGAGCCGGTGTGTAAGCAAATCTTGATTTTCCAATTATATACACAGTGAACCAAACTAGGTTAGTTAACTGGCTCAATAAGCCACCAGCCGTAGGCCAAATGTGTTATAACGTAACAGCGAAAAAGTGTATTTGATGTTATTTGTAATAAATAAATAAATAAAAAAAACCCTTAAAGTAAACTGGCGCAACGTGGCACTACGAAGATACTAAACTAGCAACTAGTCTATAAATGAATAAAGCCCTATGTTTATAGATTAACCAATTTTATTGTTACCGTTGAAACACTGAAGGATGAAGTAAAATATAAAAGATTCACATGTAAAGACTGTGTTGCTTTCCTGCCTCTTGCCGCCAGAAGAGACGCAGCAAGAATTCCAAGCAAGGACATAAACAGCCGGCCTTGATTGAGTTTCTTTTATTATTTGTGACGGATGGCGTGTATTGGTCAATTTTACTAATTCACTGCACATATTTTCCTTAACATTGTTCTCTGAGTGGAACTTTGGAATCTCATGATTCTTGATTCTTTAATCGGTATTCCTCCAAACATGCCATTTAGATTATTTACGCTAATTTATTTACAAAAGCCGTTTCGTTCCAGTCAATTCTGCCATTATAACGGAGCTTAAATTGTGGTTTTTTTTTGAAAAATTACCGGCGATTTTGTGCGTTAAAGAGCGCGCGCAGTTCCGAACGTATATAAACAAGAGCCAGAAGAGCTCAGAAGATTATCTGGGGCTGTCGCGTTCGCATGTTTATCACTTGAATGAAAAAGTGCAAAAGTGGGAAAAACTGCAATAAATCAAGGTAAGAGCCGAGCTAATTTTCCGCGGGTTTAATTCATATTTTTGTTGTTAATTCACGCTTTAACGCTGTGAAAAAACCTAATTTGTTGCAACTCCCACAAAAAACCAGTTGAACACTTTTTGTGCCTATTGAAGGAGCATCAACTTTTCCATCCCACCTCGTAGTCAAATTGCCGCAGTCCCGCTTTAGTCAGGAGGGAGAATAACAGCGGTTGCCATGGAAATCAGTCTGTTTTTGTCGCACACTGCCCATGTACCAGGGCGTTCTCAATAGAACAGCGACTCTTATAGGAATTTAAAGCGTTTATTACGCTCCGAAAGTAGTTCCAAATTGCAATTAAACGACAATAATTATGCGAGTTTTTCGGACTTTGAGGCTTGGGTGGAAAAGGATTTCTTCCTGGCGTTTTGCCAGCACGAGTGGCATACATCTTCAGA